TGGGGAAAATGCCTTTTCAGGAGTGCTTGGTTATTCAGCTGCACCATTTTTGGTGCTTTAATTCACTTCCACAGTATCTGGTGCCTCCAAACTTGATACCCAGATGTCCCGGATAAGTGACATCCATCCTTAGAGTGTGCAATCTTAGTAATGATGTTGTGTTTTCCACCTTCAAAATACAGTGAGCTCTCTCTAGTTTCCCTTATCCCATTCTCTCTGCCTTTACAGATCTGTGCCACTCTTAGTTTTTGAATATTAAAAGAGCTCATGGAGAGTAAGGAGAAGAACATGCATTTACTGCAGGAGAGATAGCTGAATACTTGTTTGTTTTATTGTTACGAGAATAAACAGGGAAGTCTGAAGTTATTAAATGTTTGTGTATAATCATTCTTAATTCATTGATATAGATTGGAAGGCTCAATCATTGGGTGCATTTTCTTGCAGAATCTCAGTTCAGGATATTCTGTTTTCGAATATCAGCCTTTTCATTTTAATAATTACTTGAAGAAGATAAGATTAGATGATTGTCTCTCTGAGGAGGTTTTATTTACAATTTTTTTTTAAGATTTATTTTTTTATTCATACAGAATTGGGGTACAGGCCAGAGATATGGAGGGTGATAGGATTCACCAAAGACAGAGTGGGGAGCAGAACAGGCAGATCGGCGAAGTACACTGCTGAGGGGAGCAGCGGGCGGGTCAGGAGAAGTCTGCCACGCCATGTGGTCACCTCCGGGGCAGGCGGGAATCGAACTCATGCAGAAGTGGCTTTAGATTCTCGATGCTGTGCTTTAACCCGCTGTGCCACCAGGGAGGGCCTATTTACCACTTTTTAAACAACTTTTTTTTAATGTAGACAACATGGGACATAGGCCAGAAATGCATGGGAGGACCCACCAGAGAGATTGGGGAGTAGAACAGGTGGATTCACTGAAATACACTGCTGAGGGGAGCAGCAGGGAGACAGAGAGTCCTGCTGTGCCATATGTGTCAGCTCCCTCGCTGGGGATCCAACTCAAATCAGATTGGTGATAGCATGGGACTTAACTCTTAAGCCATCAGGGAGGCCCTCTCCGATGAGGTTTATCCACACATTCTGAGCACAGATTAGTATATATGCTGCTTATCATTGGTATAGTTTCATAATTTTTGTGACAATAACTGGAGATAGTACAGAGAACACTTTGGATCATTTCAGGAGTCCATGGCAATAAGAACATCTTCTCTAAAATATTTAATACAATCTTTTAGTATAATTACATTCATTACATATTGATGCATTTATATAGCCACCAAAAAATGATTGTTTAATATATGCTGGTCTTCTCTTTCTAAAGATAGGATATAGATGATAGATCACTTGATACATCAACACACACATATTCTTAAAATACCCCCTTTAGAAAGAAAAGGCCATTCCCATTCTATAGGTAAGGACATTTACTCAAATAACTTAGTCAGTGCAGAGAAATCACAGAAGACCCCATATCTTTGGGGAACTTGGCAGGAGCTCACACAGCAATTCATAGATCCTTTCCAAAAGGGCTCCTGCTTTGTCAAGCCAGTCAGAGCATGCTGGAGCCTCTGGTGCTTTGAACCTCAGATCTCCTGCACTTAAAGGACTCATCATGAGGTCAGCTCACCCAGAGCAATCTTCCATATCTTAACATATCAACTGATCTGAAACTGAAGGTCAAGTCTCATCCTTATCTAACTTGACTTGTCAGCAACATTTCTCTGTTTGATTTTCCCTTTCTCCTTGAAGTGTTTCCTTTTATTTTTTTAAAGATTTATTTATTTTTCTATATAAAAACTGAGATATAGGCCAGAAGTATGGGGGGAGGTGAGAGGATTCGCCAGAGATAGAATAGGGAGCAGAGCAGGTAGATATATTGAAATATGCTGCTGAGGGGAGCAGCGGACAAGACAGAAGAGGTCTGCTGTGCCATGTGGGTCAGCTCCCTGGCCAGCTGGGGATAGAACTTGTGCTGCAGTGGCTGGCAGTGCCTCCTTTTAATT